ATTTTATTTTATTTTGTTTTATTTTATTCTACTTAATTTAATTTAATTTAATTTAATTTTATTCTACTTTATTTAATTTAATTTAATTTTATTTTATTTTATTCTACTTTATTTTATTTTATTTCATTTCATTTTATTCTATTTTTTATTTTATTTTATTTCATTTTATTTTATTTTATTTTATTCTATTTTATTTCATTTTATTCTATTTTTTATTTTATTTTATTTTGTTCTACTTTATTTTGCTTTACTCTATTTTATTTCATTTACTTGATTTTATTTTATTTCATTCTACTTTATTTTATTTCATTTTACTTTATTTAGTTTTCCTTTATTTTATTTAATTACTTTATTTTATTTAATTTTATTTTAATCCACTTTATTTTATTTTATTTTATTCTATTTTACTTTATTTTTTAATTTTAGTCTTCTTTACTTTACTTTATGTTTTTATTTTAATCTACTTCATTTTATGTTATTTTAAACTATATTTATTTTATTTTATTTGACTTTATTTTAATGTATTTTATTTTAGTTTAGTTTTTTTACTTTTATTTTATTTTGTTTTACCTCCTTTATTTTCATTATTTATTTTATTTTATTTCATTTCATTATTTTTATTTTATTTTATTTTATTTTATCTACTTTATTTTATTTTACTTTTATTTCATTTCATTTCATTTTATTCCCTTTAATTTCATTATTTTATTTTATTTTATTTCATATTATTTCCTTTAATTTCTCTCCTTTTTTTTTTTTAATTTTACTTAATTTTTATTTTTTGTGATGCCACCTGAAATCACCCTTGAGTTTCTCATTTACTTTTCTGGGAGTCATTTGATCCCTTCCTTCCTTCCTTCCTTCCATCCTTTTCTTGTTTTATTTTATTTTATTTTACTTTATTTTATCATATTTTATGATTTTATTTTATTATATTTCATTTCATTTAATTTTATTTCATTTTATTATTTTATTTTACTTTAATTTATTATATTTTATTATTTTATTATATTTCATTTCATTGAATTTTATTTCATTTTATTATTTTATTTTACTTTA